CATTCTCTCCCCTCTTCCTCATAGAGCTCATATTCATCGATCTCGCCTCCTTCATCTCTCAGGCGTCTGTTTTCTGTGCGACGTTGATGAGTCTTCGTTGCCCGTTCTCTTCCCTAGCGGCAATCCCATTGCCTCTTGTGAGGGCGGTGCCAGCTGCGCCATGCTCTCCACGAGTGCGGGCCAGGGTCCGACCTTCGGCTGCCTGTGGACTCGAAATCGCCAGGCAGCACTTTACCCCCCCTTCCTCCTTTCATGGCTCACCCCCGTCTTCTTCTAGCCTCTGCAGCAGCCCTGCGGCTGACCGTTCGTCGCCGGATGGGGGGGGGGGCTGCGTGGAGGTGGGAAACACCACTCGGCGAGACATGCAGCTTGCCTCATTAGTTACCAACCTTGCGCCAGGAAGCTCGCGCGGCCCTGGGTATAGGGATGAAGCGCGTGCCTCGGAGCTGCCGCTTGATGGCTGCTCGGGCGCGTCAATGCTTGAGGGGGGAAGGTAGGCGAACGGGAGGAGGGGAGTGATGGTCTCTCGCGTTGCCTGTCCTGTGCCTGCCCGCTAGAGTCGGCGCCTGGGTATAGGTTGCCGCGCGCTAGACTCGATGGCGCCTTCTCGAGCCCCTCGGCTTGGATGCGAGGAAGTGCGGGGAGGTTTGGGCTTGGGATGATGATGATGATGATGATGATGATGATGATGATGATGATGATGATGAGGAGGAGGAGGAGGAGGAGGAGGAGGAGGAGGGGGATTATGGGATCTCAACGGTCAGGCCTTTGGGCGGTGCAACTTGAGCCAACCAGCGAGCTTGGAGCACCGGCTGTGGGTAACCATTGCGGTAGCTCAGCTCTGTGCTTTGGCAGCCTGCTAACACTGCAAGCCTGGCTCTCGGCCTCCGAACTCATGCTGCTGGCGATGATCGACGCCACGCTAACGCATTGGGAATCACCTAACTTTTTCTCGTGGGGAAGCGCGACCCGTGCACCTCTGCGCGTCACCCCACTTTGCCATGTGATCGATGCTCTCACTCTATCTTCCCTGCGCCAAGCGAGTGATGAATTAGCAATCGCCTGTCATGCGATTTACCAGTTCTGCAGCAGTCGCATCGTTAGTTGTTGTTTCTCTTATATGTTCGTTTGTTGTGCCGATCTCTCGTTGGTCGTCAATTTCAGTGGCAACCAATCGGGGGGTCCTAGTTGTGCTACGGACGTGTGCCCTAGGAGTTCGGCTCCGCGCCTCCATGAGACCCCTAGAGCCCTCACCAGCTTTAAGCTGCCTTGCGTGCCCTGGGTGCTTGATAGGATTCTCTGCTGCTCCTGTCCAGCCCCTGACTTGTCCCTCGACGACTTAATGGGTGCGCCAGAGGAGGCCAAAATTGCGTTGGAGCTCTGCCCTTCTCGTCAGGGGGCCTGGAAGTCCATTTCCGTGTTCAGTGACGGCCCTGTCAAAAACAGTGATGATGATATCGCGGCCTGGGCCTTCGTACTTGTGTTTCACGACGATCAGGGCTTCGCATGTGGTGGTAAATACTGTGGTAAAGTGTGTCGCACGTGCAAGGCGATGCCCGACCGCGCCCTTGCCGGCACCGACTCGGAGTATGCCGCCCTTTTGTGGGCAATCATTATGCTTCTCTTCTTGCCCGACTCGCTCCCTGTCCACATAGAGTCTGATTCCATGAATGCAGTCAAGTTCATTCTTGGAGAGACAGCGCCGGCCAGAGACGACCCCCTGGCGCGTGTCACTTGTTCGTTGCGGCTAGTCCCATGCCTGCGCAGGCAAGCGCGCGTTTCCCACGTCAAGGCTCATCATGGCCATCCTTGGAACAGCCTCGTGGACCACGTTGCTCGGGATACTCTTCTGGGCCATATTTCTCCCTCTGTCCTCCCCTGCGGGCTGGTCGCCTGTGCCGATTTCCACCAGGGCCTCGAGCGGGAATGGGTTCGCCACCTGGGCGAGGGGCCTGCGGGTGCGTTTCCTGTCTGGGATTTTGACGTCACTACACCTTTGCCCTCTTGTAGGGCCGTGGAGTCGCACATAGCTGATCTCAAGAAATCAAAAGAGGTCAAGGCCCAGGACGCGGTCGTCGGCCTCAAAGTGGCCCAGTGCAACGCCAAGTCTGCGTCTTCCCGCAAGGCTTATGGGGCCCAGGGTAAGGCCCGCCGTGCCCGCAGCAAGACTCTCGGGCTTCAGTTTGGCTCCTTGGGTACCCACCTGGTTGGCATTCAAGAAGCCAGAAATCCTCGCGGGGTAAGATGTGCGGACGGTTTTGTGATCCTTTCTTCTGGGACCTCTGCCGTTGAGGGTGAAGATGGGCTGGGTGTCGAGCTCTGGGTCAACTGCAAGGCTCACTATGCCAAGATGGGGACGCGCAGCCTGGTCTTAGAAGGTAGGCGCGTGCGCATCCTTTATGCCGATCCTCGGATACTTGTCGCGCGCATATGCCCCCTCCCATCGCGCTTACAGCGGTGGTTGCCCATGCTCTTCATGCCAAGAGAACACCTGAGTTTCGGCTGAGCTTTTGGGATAAGCTTCGGGCACTCCTCACAGAGTGGGCCCCTCAGTTATGTTTCAATGCCGCGAACGCCCGCGTGGGTAACATCACCTCGAACGTTGTTGGCGATGAGGGATTCGCACAAGATCAGGATGCAAGCGGTGACGAGCTTCACCGAACAACCATGCAATGTGATCTTCCGCTTGTCAACACCTTCCTACCTGATGACCAGCCTGGTCACGCGTTTACTGAGATGGGAGGCAAGGCGCACCGTATTGACTACATCATGGTTGATCGGACATTTCTTTCACTTGCGTCTGCTTGTCACACCCGTGCCTCTTTTGACAACTGCCTTTCTATTCGTGATCACATTCCCATTGTTGCCTCCTTTCAATGGTCGCTATCTCCTTTCTCTGCCCTTATTCCCAGATGCCCCAAGATGGACCCTCGTTTGTTGGGTTGTGATGAGGCCAACGCCAAACTTGCTAACGGCCTCCAAAGTCTATCATCCCATGGGAGCGTGACATGAAGGATCATTTACAAGAGATCTCAGAGGGCACCATCGAGTTGGCCAAGGGGTGCTTCGGACACCCTGGCCGAGTGCCCAAGCAAGAACGCGTCTCTCCACAGGTTCTTGACCTTATCGGCTGGGGGAGGGATGCCATTCGTGCCACTAGGAAGTGGCATGCCCTCGACACTGCCCCAGCCAGCTCGGATCATGCTCGCCCTTTTGCCCTCTCTTTTTTAAGTTTGCCAAGAGGATCACAGGAGGAGATCTCCATCAGGCTGCCGAGGCCAGATTCACACCGACCTTCTGGAAGCCAGTGGATGTGATCATCCAGCAAGCGTGGCAGTTTAGGAGGCTGGCCGTGGACCCCTACCGTTTTGCTGATCTGGTGGTGGCTTTTCTGATTTCGAGCAAGGTTGTCTGGGCGTGTGCTTTGGGCCAGGACCGCGCGCGGTTCCTCGAGAAACCGCCGGGGATATTTCGGTGCCGGTCGGCGCCAAACTGCCGCGCCAACAATGGAAACAACTCCAGGCCCTCCTGGTCGCTGGTGGCAGAAAAAAGGGGGCCTCGAGGACACTGGATGTTCTCCCCCTGATCGACCCCCCTGCGAGTGGCGACATGTCGCGTGCTGCTGGAAGAGGTGTGCCGCCTCCGCAAGGTAAGGTGCTTGCCTCTCAAGAAGAGGTAAGTTCTTACATGCAGAGACGCTTCTGCCAAGTCGAGCCAGGTAGACATGCATCTTTACAAGAGGTCATTCAAGCCTTTAACCGACTACCTGATCTGCTACCCCCATCTCAGCCTCATGCGCCCGATCTCATCCCCGCTGTGATCGACCTCGAACACATTGTGCGAAACTTGCGAACGGGAAAGGCCCCTGGGCCCGATCGATGGGCTTCCCTCTGACTTGCTCGAGGCTGCTCCCCAGGCTATGGCCAAGGTTCTTTGCTCTTTGATGTGTAAAATAACCCTGGCGGTCCGTGAGCCCATTGTTCAAGTTTGGTGAGGTGGCCTTTTTTTGCACAAGGGATCTGGGCCCCCCCATGGCGGCAAAAGGCCAGCGAAACATTACGATGGCAAGTGCGATTTGCAAACTCTATCATCGTCATATTCGTTCTTTGGCGACGGACTTCTTCTGCGCGCGTCTCTTGGCCGAGCAGTGTGGATGGGGTCCCCCGCAAGGGCCCTAAGATGCTTTTGCGCGGCCTATTTCTGTGCGCGCAGATTGCCAGAGGGCACGGACTTTCCTTTGTTTCGCTATCTCTGGACCTCGTGGATGCCATTTATAGGGTTATTAAGCAATGTGCTGCCTCTCTTCCTGGAGAAGAGGACATATTGGAGGAGGCTTCGGAACAGATTTCTCTCCCCCCTCTGTTGTGTCAGGGGGCCATGAATGCCCTCCGCGAAGAGAAACCCCTTGAGAGTATTTCCTCTGGCCACCTGTTGGCGCTTCTTCGGGAATCGCAGCGCTGTTCCTTCTGGCAGGTGCGGCGAGCGTCGGGACTTGTGCTACCTGGAGGTGGCGCAAGGCCTGGCGCTCTTTTGGCCGCTGATGTTTTCAATCTCGTTTCCAGGTCAGTCCCACTTAAAATCCGCGAGGGCGTTCGACAGCTCGGGAAGGGAATTGCTGATATTTCTGCGCCCCCTGAACCTTCCTGCTCCTCGCCCCAGGACCGGCAGCGCGTGCAGGGCGATTTATCCTTTGACGATTTCACAGTTTCTTCATTCGCACGCAAGAGCGAGCGACGTGACGGCCACCGCTATGGCCATATCGGCGACTGTTTATGCGTCGTGCCTATCATATGGGCTGCGCCCCAACTCCGCCAAGACCAAGGTGTTGTTCCATCTGAGGGGTCCTGGATCCCGTGGTGTTCTTCTGTTTTCGGACCGCTCTGTTGTGCGTGTTTCCTCTGAAAAGTGGGGAAGTGGGGATTCTGTTCCCCTGTCTGCTCCGCCCGCAAGATTCTGGGTGCCCCATTTGACGCCTCAGGGAACATGGCTAGTGAGGTCGC